CAGTGTAAAATAATAAATTCCCAAATGAATTGAACACCTTTATTATATGAATGTAAAGTTGGAAAAATAAACCAGAATAACGAAAAACACGTTTTTTTTTAATATGTGTAGCTTACATTGAAAATATTTTGAAAATATATTCCTTAGCAATTAACTTAAAATTGTAAAAAATGCTTTGTTGCAATTCGATAAATAATTTACTTTTTGTTGCACATTTTCCTTTTGGTTTTAGCTGGTGTCTGGAAATTTGCAACAATTTAAATATTTATTCCAGAATAAAATTAATCACATGTGATACTAGCATAACAAATCTCTCTAAGAAGAGCCTCATATGCTTTCTATATTGTTGCGACCCAAGTAGCCAACATGTTTCATTAAATCTAACAAAAGGAGCAAGTTGTTTGTTGCTATTGCGGCACCCCACTGGCAAATTACAACGCCGAGCTACAACAAGAAAAACTTGCTGCCAGTTTTCCTTTTTCTTTATTTTTTTTTTTTATTATTTTCTTTTCTTTTCGCTTGAGCTCTGCTGCGTTGTGTTGTGTTGCACACCTCAAGGGATGTCATTTAGAAGGCGACGAGCGTGCGTCAAGTGTAAGAATTAAGCAGCTGCGAACTGAGCAGGCAATAAGTGAGATAAAATTACGCGGCGCAGCCCGCGGGGAGGGTTGCCTCAAATGTAATTGTAAAGTATGCGAATGGGCGACACACAGCCTGAAAAAAAGGCGGAACTGGCACAAGGTCGCTGACGAATTCAATGTGAGATTTAAGTGGTTGGCCTTAAAAGAAACTCAAATTGTTGTAATTTTAAAGAGTTCGCTTTCTATGCGTACCATACTCTTCCAAAATTTCACTTTTTATCAAATCTGCGACGTGACTAAAAAGCTGGCAACAAAAAACTTTTTCAATCTAAAATTATCAAAGTAAACATCAAAGTTATACCAAAAGAAAAAAAAGCGAATAATAATAAAAACAAGTAGAAACTTGCAAATTAGCAAGACATACAAATACTGCATGGGCTAAGCAAAATAGCAGACGTCGCGACACCGAGTGTAAAAGAGATAGGCGCATGGCAAAAAGTTGTACAAGCGAATCAACAAAAATGTTCACACCTCATGTGTAGAATTTAAATTTGCTGCCAACACACGCACACACACACTACAGGGCACACTTTTGAGTGCATGTGCGAGGAGACATGGCTCATACGCCCCAAGAGCCGAGTAGAGTATGGCAAGCACACACTGTGTAAAATTTCATATCAATTTCATTGGGATTAAGTTATATTTTATATTTTAGTGCTTGCCAAGGTGTTGATGTGCTCTTGTTTGCTTCTGTGTGTGTGTGTATATATATGTAAGTTGTAGCTGAGATTTTGTGCACGTGCAGCTCCTTTGATTTTATGTGTTGTGTTTGCCGAAAAAGGGGATTTAACACAAGCCCAAAATAGTGAGTTTACCATAAAGCCTCACTAAACACTGATTCGAAAGAGACTTAAGAATAATTAAAGTTGACGAGAAGAGGAATTTGTCTGAAGAACAGAAAGAATTAAAGAAATCGTACACAATATAAACACCTGATTTATCAGCAATTTCCCTTTTTCTCTAACTGTTACCCATATGCCAGCCATTAGCTTCGAATTACTGAGTTTTTTCCAGATATTTTGAAAAACCAAGGAGTTGTTCATATAAGTACTCAATTTTCGGCAGATCATTCCTAAAACTACGTAAAATACTTGTCTTAACTAAGATCTGTAACAAGTTACATACACAAACAGACAGGCAAATTCTACTGTCATCACTAATATATAAATAACAATATAAGAATGAAGTATGGAACCCAAAGAAAAGGTATCTGATTTTAGCCGTCAAATGTACAATTAGTCACAAGCTGCATAGGAGTTATGTGGTCTGTGAATCTAAAGCATCTAAGTTATATATGTATGTATATGTATATATGTTCTTTCATCATGATGTACTTAATGCAATAGTATTCAGAATTGGATTGTGCCCACTCCAGTTGAGTGCCCCTTTGCCGCATTGCCTGACCATTTGCTTAATTCAATGACTTCTGTGACTCGAAACAACACACTTGTGAATTGGTGCTTGTCACACACACACACACACACACACACACTCTCAGCCAGACACATACTGTGTGCAGTACAATTTCCTGTTCAAGCCGAAAAATACAAATCATAAAAGTCATGGCCCGACAGTTCATAAAAAATGCGACCCAGCGCAGCGATTGCCATACAAACAGGCGCATTACATGGCCAAAATCTACCAATCCCATGACCGGCATATAATTCAAACACGTACCGATACAAAAGACAGAGACAGCACTAGAGAAGGTAACAGAGACAGACGGAAAGAATGCGATAGAGAGAGAGAGAGGGAGAGAGAGAGAGCGCAGCGGGTGGGCTGTAATCAGGCAATTTCATATGAATAAGTTAGCAGGCAATGCCGCCTGAGTGTTTGCAATAAATTTCGTTTGTATTACGAATGCGACGCTGCTTATGAAAATTTTAAAGGCGCCAAACTATGTGCCACAACTGAGATTGGCCCCACCCTCGACACGCCCACAGCAACAACAACAAAATGGAAATTTATTACACCAAAACGTGCACAGACCACGTCCCAGGCCAGAAAAGGTGTTTATTACTTATTTAGAGCGGCACGCCTACATAGACCCTCCAAGGTGCTAGAGATAAAATGTTGGCACGATTTTGACGGCATACCTTATTTTTAGATACGGCTGGTTTACGCTCAAAAGTTAAAAGGATAAGAAAGGTTTTTTAAAATTGTATACTTAAAATAAAATTTCTTAGTAATTTGTTAGCTATTGCACAGCTATCATACAGATAAAAAATGTTAGAACTATCTTTTTTAAGTTTCTAAAAGGAGCTTCAAACTTAAAGAACATTTCACATATCACATATATTTATCTATATTTGTTTCACTTCTTTAATTTATATGAAGTGCGTCGCTCTCAATTTGCTTTCAAGTGGAACATAGATCGGTAATTGTGTATCTCAAAGAGCTATGTTTGTGTAGGGATTTCTAATAATTCAAATTTCCAAAAAGTAGTTAAATAATAATATATGTATATGTACATTTGTTATGATAAGCCGCATGTTAATTTTTATTTTATTTTCGGCGATCATTACTTTAAAAGATCGCTTATTATGCCGTCATAATTTGAGTTTCTTTTCTTGTCTCCCTGCAAAGCAAAGCATGGTTAATATGCTCTGTTCGAGGGTATCATAACAATGTGGGAGGTTGTTCACTCGGCTGCTCACAGCGGGCGACCGGCAGCCACTTGGCCGCTTGGTCGTGCTGTGTAGTACGTGCCTGAGGCTTAGCGCCATCAAGTGGCAATTGGGGAGTGCCGCCTGGTCTCGCCAGCCACTAAACATTTTAATTAGAAAATTTCGCACAGCCAGTTGAGCCGACCGCAAATCCAATTATCAAGTAATTATGCATTTAATTTGGCGCATAGGAGCACCGGACTGATGTGCATTATCGACAAGCGGACAGATCCTTAATACGACTGCCCAACCGAGAGAGCAACAAATCAACACAAGTACGCATATGCAAAAAGCAAAACTTTTCGTTGAATAACTTTGGGCGCCAAGGCGGGCTGGATTTCAATTTTAAGCGTTGCCAGTTGTCTGCATGCCCGAAAACAGTTGGCAAACAAACAGAAAGACAAACACACACATGTACTCACACATGACTATGTATTTGCCACGCCCATCATTCTTTATGTTGTGCTGTCTGCGTGTTGCAATTAAAAGTTTGCCGACGCTTATTACAAATGTCGAGAACCGCAGTCAGGGTATCAAAGAGGTCAAGTGCAGCGTCTGCACAAGTTGCATAGTGTTGCGTAGGGTAATGTCCACTGGCCAGCACTGGTAATTGGCCAATGTCATATTGCAGAACACTTTAAAGTCTTTTAAGCTACCTATTTGAAAATGTTTGCAAATTTTTAACGTCTCCTTTGGACTGCAATTTATTTGGTTTGTTTTTATTTTTTGCATTCACTGCAAGTATAATTAAATAACAGCTCCTAATATTGTCGCAAAAACCCATTTACGTTTAACTAAACATTTTATTCATAAATACCAATACTAAAAAGTAAGTAAAGGATATTATTATGTCTATTGAGGGCTTATATTATTAATATTCTAGCTCCTTTACAATAAATTTGTATACCCCAGCCTGAGTATCTTTTCATGATTCTTCTTTACTGACTTGACAAAAGACTTAAAATGGCATATATTTTCTTAAATTAATTTGTAACTCCATACAAAAAGTAGCATTTGAATAGCATTGTTAGACATTTTCAAATTAAATTAATTTAATTTAATAAATTTAATTTAATTAATAAATTTAAAGGGTTACACCTACATATTTTTGTGTGTATAAATATGAACTAAGTTTATATGAGACGAAGAGAGGCACATGCGAGATGCACTTTTCTTTTATATTCATAATTACATACACAATAAGGTTTGTTATTCTCCGATATAATTCGATATACCCAGAGCAAGTCATTTAAAGCTACAGCACATTGCAAATTTCAATAAAATATATCTGTAATCAATACCTATAATTTTTACATCTGCGATTTTGTAAACCTGGACCTATGCTAAGTTATTAATGGTATTAAATTTGAATTGAAGCATAGCTTTAACTTTGGTGAAAAGCTCTTACAAAAAATTTCTGTTAAAAGCAGACAATTACAGTCCTTGTTAAGTAATATAAATTGAGCTAGTGACAGTCAAACAAAATGAAATGCTTTAGACCTTTAATTAGGCCCTCGCAAGCCAATTAACACCCGCCTACACATCATATCTATGGCGCAGCTAATAATTAGACGCTAATGATGACACCACGCAACCACTGAAACCACAATCATGAAACCCAGCGTCAAGTATATAAAAGAAGCTTTAACGCCAGCCGTGTAGTTTCTACCGTGAGAAGCGTCTTTGGCTTAACATGGACGATGTACAGACGATGTCCACCTCAGAGATGCCGATTTTTGACATAACGCTGCACCTGATGAAGTTCTGGTCATATCTATTCGTTCATAATTGGCGACGCTATGTCGCGCTGACGCCATTTGCTCTCATCAATGTTACCCAATACGTCGACATCTACCTAAGCTCCGAATCCCTGGATTTCATCATTCGGAATGTCTACCTGGCGGTCCTCTTTACCAATACATTTGTTCGGGGTGTTCAGCTGTGTGTGCAGCGCACGCGTTACGAGCGATTTCTGGAACTGTTCAAGGGCTACTATATTCAGCTACTGGTGAGTTTAATACGAATAAGAAGAGTGAACAGCCGTTTTTAGGGTGGCCTAGATTAAGTATATATATCATATACATATAGAACAAATATACAAGCGAATGCAATTTCTTGCTAATGTGTGAAAAATTGAAAGCCGTAAGGCTAGTTATGCCGCAGATGCGTTAAGCCTTTCGCACCCCTTACGGCTTTCCAGATATTTATGTATGGAGAAGCTCTTGTTTTCCCAGATATTTTATGATATTTTCTCACACATCTGCAAACCCATAAATGTTCGGCGTGTCGCAGAGTCCTTATTTTCTCGTTTTAATTATTTTATTGACACCCTTGTCGTTGTCTTAAAACCATAAATATATTCTTATTTCAGAACAGTTCGGATCTGCACATTCGTCAATTGGTGGCTGACGCCACGCAACTTTCGAAAACCATTGGACGCATTAATTTGGTAATGGGAACCTGCAGCTGTGTTGGTTTTGTGACCTATCCCATTTTTGGCTCGGAGCGTGGTAGGCGAACTACACAATCTCGATGTAATTTCTGTGCACATTGGTAATTGTATTTGTATTTGCAGTGCTGCCCTATGGCATGTATGTGCCTGGTATTGACAAATACGCCAGCCCCTACTATGAGATCTTCTTTGTGGTGCAGTTCATAATGACGCCTATGGGCTGTTGCATGTACATACCCTATACCAATCTGGTGGTTACCTTCACACTGTTTGCTATACTCATGTGCCGAGTGCTCCAGCACAAGCTGCGCACCTTACAGCAATTGCGAGGCATACGAGTGCGTCACGAAATTATATGGTGCATACGTTATCAGGTCAAGTTGGCAAGGTGTGCTATTTACCAACAATTTACCCAAGAACTAACAATCCAAATATCCTATACAGACTAGTGGATGCCATGAATGAATTAACGACCAATTTGCATCTGTTTGAGTTTCTGTGCTTTGGCGCGATGCTTTGTGTGTTGCTCTTCTCGTTGATCATTGTAAGTTTCAAACTTAAAATGAAATTCTATATATTATATTTTACTAATTTATATTTTCATTATAATTTAAGATTATTATTTTAGAAAAAGTCTTTTTTTTTATTAAATTCACAACGCTCCTTACATATATGCATCGGATCTTTTTATCATATAGCTTTAATAAGACCAATAGGTCGATTGTAGGTTTTCTTAGGAAAAACGTTTTAATTATCAAAATATTGACTAATTTATTTACTATTTTACTAATATTTTATATTTGTTTCAAGTCTTATTAAGATGAAATATAGCTCTATTTGAAGAATCGGTCGAAAAATTAGTTGACTATGCTTATTTTATTATGTTTATTTTATTAAATTCAGAATGCATGTATGATTAAATGTGATTCGTAATATTTCCCCATTTTTGTTATATAGGCACAAACTATTGCCCAGACTATAATAGTCATTTTCTATATGGTCATGATATTTGCCAACAGCGTTGTGCTTTATTACGTGGCCAATGAGCTTTATTTTCAGGTGGGTCCACAAAAAATATATTTTACCAACAAGTTGAAAATTAAAAATTCCATTTCCTTAGAGCTTCTACATATCTATTGCCGCCTATGAAAGTAATTGGACTGATTTGGATATTGAGACACAGAAAACATTAAAGTTTCTAATCATGCGCTCGCAAAAACCACTAGCGGTAAGGAATCCTTGAAGCTCCTATAAAATACATTTACGCATATATATGTAAATGATTTATATCTGACATATCTTTAGATACTCGTTGGCGGTGTTTATCCAATGAACCTGAAGATGCTGCAATCGCTGCTGAACGTCATTTATTCCTTTTTTACGTTGCTGCGACGCGTCTATGGCTGAGTTGCTTTTAAAGTTAGACCACATTTATCCTTTGTAGATCGGACAATTGTAAAATTGATTGCATTTAGCTTTTGGGCCAATAAACGTTATCCGCAATTCGATTGGCCAATGCATGCGGAATTGCATTTTAACGTTTCAGAGCCAAAAATGGTACAAAAGCCAGAGAAAATAAACTATAATAAAAATGCGTCTGGACTCCATTGTCCGTTGTCTCCCTCCACACTTGCAACCGGGGAGCTGGACACTGAGTACTGGCCAGGACTTTCTTTTGTTGTGTTGGCCCTGTTGGCTATGCCCGGCACGTGCCACTTAGATAACTTCTATTTAAGCAAATATAAATCTAAAGTGTGTTAAATTAGATTAAAATGTTCTCGTAAACTAAATGCTGTGGCAGCAGGAGGCAAGGCATGTGGCCGTCCAGTCTCATGTTGTTTTTCGTATTGCTTACAAATTTAACACAATGTCTCGAAATTGGCAAGCAGACAATTCAGTTAATTAATGTGGAAATGGAAAGCTAAGCTGTTTACACGTGTATACACACTTATATTCCAAACGGGAATACTGAGCAGTTTGTGTACATAAACTTTTTGTATAGCCTTAAGCTAAACCACAGCAAATTTAATTGCCAAACTGCTTTTTGTGATATGTATATATTCTTCTTGGGTTTAGAAAAGCCACAAGCTATTGATACAGTATTTTATTTATGGAAATTATTTGTGGTTTGCTTAGTTGGGCTGTGTTTATTCAAAACTATTCTGCGTTTTAATTTGCCTTGAACAGCCATAAATAAAGGAAGCTGCCTGTTATAAATTTATTTAATAATCATAAATTGACTAACTCGGTAGCTTGACCAAAGTGCAAAGCTTCTCAATTTTCTCCAGCTAACGACATGATGTGAGTATATTTAATTTCAATAAAAAATGTTTAATAATAGAAAGTTAACTAAAAAATAGTAATATAATAATAATGACAATGACAATGACAACGAGAAGTACGATAATAATGATTAAAATATTAGCCCAATAGTTTTCTGTTCTATTATATTCACTTTTTTATCTAATTCAATCCATCCATAATAATATTATAAATTGATAATAATAATAATAACAATAATAATAATTATTATTATTATTAATAATAACAATAATAATAATTATTATTATTAATAATAATAACAATAATAATAATTATTATTATTATTATTACAGAAAATAATAATAATAATAATAATAATAATAATGCATGTTCGCGTACTAGTTTAATTAATTCTATTTTATGTTGTCACTAACACCGGATTTTTATCTTATATTCTCTGTTCTATAATATTTACTTTTTATTTAATTTAATATACGACCTACTTTCTGTTGTTCTGTTTTTTCTGTTCTTTCTTTTTAAGCTCTTTAATTGCTTTGCAAGTCTTTCTTGACATCAGTTTTGCAGCTCAGACTCCGCACATTATAGCTTCAATTTTCCTAATCAACATTAAGTTTCACTTCAGTCAAGCCCCATGCCACAGTCTCAGACATTTCGCACATTCAACGAGTCGTCAAATTGACTTTAATTCAAGAATTTTTTATATGCTTTACACACACACACGCACACAGAAACATACGTACACACACATGCGAACTGCCTCTCTAAAGACCTACAAAAGGAATTGCTGCCTATGTCCCAGTCTGCTGCTTAATGGCATTCCACTGCTCGCTGCTGTCTGTTTCTCAGTTCTCCCCGCTTTCACCTTCCACAAACTTAGCAATGACTCGCCGTTTTACTGCATACTTTTAGGAGCCTCACAGCAGCAGCAAAAACGCTGATGCGACAATTATAGTTATTGTCTGCCTAACCAACCGGGGAAATCTCCAGCCATCCCATCTCCTCCCACTGCCGCTGACTGGTTTCGCGTACGTGAGACAGCACAAACACCTCACAGCTGGCTGTATGTGTGGCAAGTGGGCGTGGCAGCAGTTGCAGCCAGCTTCAATTGCAGAAGCAGCTTCTTTCATTGCTAATGTAAACATGTATTGTTGTAGCTTTGGTACCCTGTTCATTAGCAGCGACGGAGGATAGGTTACGTTGCGCTACAGAAAATCTTAACAATTTATTGCACTGTCAGTGGGGAGTAGACAACAGTGTTAATTATATATTTATTGCAATTATTTTTATCATTACAATTATAGCTTACAACTTTTTAATTAAAAAAGAAAAGGTTGTTAGCACTCTTTACCCTTTACGGCAAAAAGCAAATTTTCCTTTTAGACTCGCTTTGCTGCAGGGTATTCGAAAAGTGCCAAGCATTATTATATTTGGTTTTGTGTTATTGTTGCCGCTGTCTGTCAATGTCTTTGCCGCCAAATTGACACATTTTGTAGTCGCCCCGTGGATCTGCACAGCACTCCTTAAATAGTGTGCTAAAATGTGGTACGTGTTCTCTGTGACAAAGTCTTATCTCTGTGGGTGGCTCAGCTGCTGCCTGGCAATGTTTAATTTCATTGGCAGGTGGCATGAATCGTGAAGCCCTGGAGCTGGTTAAAGTTGCCAAAGAAATTTATCAGAACGCAAATCAATTTTCAACACCTTGCCGCGGGCGTAATTCTTGTGTCTGTCTGTGTGTGTGAGCAGGTTGCCCAAGTAGCTGGCCAGAAATCAAAACCAGCTTTTGCCGCCTTCTGCCGAAGGAGGTGCACTTGACGCCCAGGAAAGATAACCCTTGCAGCATCCCGCTGCCTGGAGTTTGGCTCCATTAGCTTTCATTGGCCGTGCGGCCACACCCCGTATTTTATGCCTATTTTATGCGCATCAGAACAAAATTGCGTACGTGTTGTAATTTTTAAAACATTTTTCTTGTACTATTTTTGGGGCTCTGTTGACATTTGATGTTCGCACGGACGGACTTGCCTTAATACGGCGTCAACCAAAATAAAAAAAAAAAAATGAAAGTAAATAAACTTGTCAAATTTAGGTCAAGCGGTCAAGTGTTTTATGTCGTTGTTGGGCTCCTGTCAAGGGTCTTATGCTGTTTGCCTGCAGTGGCCCGCAGTTTTGTTTTATGTCCATATCAGGCAGGAGGGGTGAAGGAGGGCGTGTTATTATTCGTATATGTGCCGGGTTGAAGCAGCTGTGTTTGGTTAAGAGCTAAAGGATTCGTGTGTCAATATTTGAAAGCTTTAGATACGATAGATTTTCTTAAGATTTTACAAGTGCTGTTTGAAGTATAAATGAAAATGAGAACTGTTTAAAGAAACTTGAATTAAATATATAAAATTTTCATACTATCAAACACAGTCGATATCTTACTGCCACTTCCACTCAAAGCTCTTGCTGTCCCTTGTAAATTTATATTGTCTATCTTTGAGATTCTCATAACTACTCAAAAACTTTCTCGCAAATCTTTACCGAAAGAGTATATGAGGTTTTTTTTGAATTTATGTTACCTCCAAGTTAACGTTTTATTTAGTTATAGTTGAGTTCTAAATCAAATTTGTATTTCTATATGTTATACAAGGGCATGCTCGATTAAACTATAAAAGTATCAATAAATATTTTCTTCATATATGGTTGCTTTATAACACATATTTACATCCTTTAACAAATCTTATGATTTGTAACCTTCATAACAATTTACATTGGCAGATTACGAAGCATTTAGAAGTTGTGCACGACACACCCCAAAACCAACCCAACAAACTACCCTACCCCAGCCATTTCTGTTGCTGCCAAAAGATCAAAAAATAGAAATCAGTTCAACAAAAAGCAAAGTTCAAAAAAGAAACATGGACAAGAAATATATAAAGCCAGGCTAAAAATATGGGCTTGTGGCCGTCGTCCTAAGCCCGCCCAAACATAAATTATTATCACACTAGCCGACATTGACCCAAAAAAAAGTTAGCCTGACAAATTTGTTGACTCTTGAATTTTTCCAAGAGAAGAGGTGGAAATGAGCAAACGAAATTTCACATCGATTCGACAGCGCCTGCAAATGAAATTTGTGCCATGGCCAGCTAATAGAGTGGCCCGTAAATAATTTAAGGAATTGCAATGGCAATTTGCAATGCATTTGTGTGGCAATTGTAAAAGACCAAAGCGAGATTGGAGAAACCAAATTTAATTAACTAACAGGCAAACAACAAACAGATGCCGGTCTCGTACGTAACGTATACGTAATGTATTTGCTTAGGCCAAGCAGCCTGTTTATATTGGCTAAGCCAAAGTTTCTGCTCTACTTCAAACGTAGAGTCTACATATCTAGAGCTTAATTGCCAATGCCAATCAAAGTTGTCGCCAAAATTATATGTTAAAATGCGCTTAATTTGCAAAATGCCAAAAGGCAGGCAGCAAAGTGCCACGGAACGATAGGAGATGCAGTAAATGTTGCACTTTTGGTTCCCAGCTCGTTTGGGAAATTGCCATTTATGCCAGGTTGGCATTGGCAGGCTGGCTGTCTGGCAACAAAATTGTTGTGCAAATCTGATTAAGGCTGTAGTTTGGGTAAGCGATTTATGAATGCCATTGAATGCATGCCGGCCGCAACGAATACTTGACTATGAGTGGCAGGCAGCAAGTGCAAGGATTATGTGCGTCTCTCTGTATCCTTTTTGTGTTGCATAAACCGCCTGCAGGCCAACTGCACTGGCAAATGCGGGCCACAGGTCTGACAAACAATTGCAAGAGGCAGACAAAGAATTCACCAGGTGAATGCAACCGAATAAAGAGCTGCGATAAGAACAACATTTAATCCTTGTATGTGGCTAATACTTGTCACTTGTAAGCACATACTACAGCATATTTACACATTGTAAGTATATGCAGGACATAAAATGATCAAAAGATGAATGACAATAACACTGTTAGAGCAATAAATAGGAAATATGAGCTCAAAGATTTAAGTGTGTGATATTATCCAAATGTATCCTCCTGTGAACAAATGAATATACCCCTTGCAATAAACAAATTTATCCTGATGTCCTAATGTTATTTTATAATTTCTTAAAATATGTATTTGA